TCATAAGCATAATGCATCAGGCTTGAATAGATGGCAAGAACTAGAAGAAAGAGAGAAGGCATTACATAGATGGCAAAGGAAACTCATTAGGAGTAACGTCAAGAACTAGAGTTAAAGATAGCACTTATGAGGTAGCGCTGGAACAGTTGGGGTTATCCGGGTTTTTGCAGCATATCTCAGAGGTCTAAAATAGTTCCATATTTTTTTTTCTTGGTTGAGGGTTAGAAAGAAAGCATAGGAGTAAAAACAGACAGAGAAGGGGGAGTATTGAGGATATGGTTAACATAGTTAAGCATGGTGTCCAGATTGTGTGGAGAAGGAATTGACAAGATGGGTTGGGAAAATCAGAAGTGATTAAGCAGCTGTGGAATTCGGTGAGATAAAGGAATCAATGCAAGGCGTGAGGCAACGGGAAGTCTGGAGAGGAACGAGGGGCACAAGCTTTCCGAAGCCAAGGGTGTTTCTGTAAGGGGAGGCTGCGGACGTGGAGGGAGGCCTAGTTCACTGGAGTTTAGATTAGAGCAATGGCTTAGACTTCTAGATCCGAGGCTGTAGCATGGGTCGGAGTGAATGGTTAACTGGAGAGCCAGCTGCAGAGTCCTCTCTGGATGCAGGAGGATGGAGAGGAGATAATGTGGAAGCTGTGGATGAGAGCAATAGGACAAGAGACTACAAATTGGGTGTTGTGCGTTTTCAAGGAAGGACTCTTGCACGATATTCTAGAATGCTGATCTGGATCTGGTAATGACCAACAGGTAAAATGCTCCACAGAGCCCAGGGAAAGGAAAAAGTGAATGGAGATCAAGGACTAGCAGTGGCGATGAAGCTTTTAGAGCTTTCCATGGTAACAGCCCGCTGTGGCATGTGTGCCATGGGTTCGCCACCACTGAACCAGAGAGACCTGGTGACTGGGAAACTCATACATTGGTTAGAATTGTCAGAGGACCCAGTCAGCATCAGAACCCCCAAAGTGATGCCTGATTTATTCAATGCCTAAAACACAACAGCTGCTGAAGAAATGATTTTTAACGTAATTATTGTCTTTTTGTTATGAGGTTTTTTTTCCTTCTTCTTTCATTCATCTTCCATACCTTAGTCTCAAAACTTGCTAGTTTGCTTACAGAGAGCTTCGGGCTATTCTTCATGACAGATTACCAGTAGGTTATTCAGTGCAATTCAGTTTCCTTCATTGTTAATCTCATTTTTCCCTAGAAATCTTTTCCCATAATACTTTTAAGTTTCTGAGTTACAGAAACAAAGGCATAACATTTTCTGGATTATTTTCCTAAATAAATAGCAGTAACAATGATGACTCCATTTGTGTGTGTGTGTGTGTGTGTGTGTGTGTGTGTGTGTGTGTGAAGTACACATTAATTATCTCAGTTACAGTATTCATTTCTCAAAATCCCAGGAGATACGCAAGATGCATATGGCTTTTCTCAGTTTTGCACATAAGCAGTTTGGACAAATCCTTTCTACAGCCAGAAGCTGGAAATCTAGGCGGGAGTCCATGCACTTCCAATGTGAATCAACAGCTCCGGGGACAGTAGTAGTTCCTGCAACTTTACAGGAATTTGTTCAAAGTGCAGATGTGATGGGGAGGGGTAAGTTTGGAACCTGCATTTGAGGCTGATATCTGCTGCTCATGTTTTAATGACCATACTAAGAAAAGCACAAGAAAATGCTTTTATTCCTTCTCTCCTGAAGGAAAAACAAAAACAAATGGCTGATCTTACCTCCTACTAATCAAAGGATGGGGGGAAGTTGGAGCCCCCAGCTCTTCTCTTCAGTGATCTAGCCACCCACACTGATAGATAAAGTTAATTACCTGCCCTGGTTAAATGACTTTCCCTAGCAATACCCTAGCAACTAACATCAGCTCTGCCTTAGGCTACAAAACTAGAAAGAGATTTCTTGAAGTTGAGTATATTTTACAACAGCACAAAACATCTGAGCAGGAAATTAAACCGAAAATAAACTAGATTCACTGCTAGAAGATAAGACATAGACACATGAAGGGGTTCACGATAACCCAATGGTTCATGATCATCAAAACAAGAAACTTTTTCTCCTTGTGGGTTTTATAAATTCTACTGAAGTCCAGAGAGGAGAATTTAAACAGAGGGGAAGAGGACAGATATTCCAGGCAACAGAAGAAGTGCTGAGACAATACCCAAAGTAGAGGACACAGGGAACCAGGCCAGCAGTACTGGGAGCTCAGACGGGGATCCCTGACCAGATGGATCAAAGAGACCCAGTCATGTGGAGGGCGCTGAAGACCACCCTGAAAACTTGGGCTGAGCCAGGCAACACAGGAAGCATAACTGTTTAAGATTTGTATTCAGAGAACCAATGTGTACAGATCCTTAGTTCTGAGCCAGGTTCTGTGGCTTACAAATGCGTACATAAGTATTAATTTGAGATGATTAAAAGAAAAGGTACTGAGTTCTGGGATAGTCTTAGGGGCAGAGTTTATTCTAAGAGACCAGAAGGGCTCCTCTGAAGAATCAGCTTTGCACTGAGATCTGAAGGATGTATAGAAGTTAGCTAGTAGACAGTGAGGGTCAGGAGGGACCACCGAACAGTGCAGGATCCCAGGCAATACAGGAGCACAGGAAAAAGTACTCCAAGCTGGCCCAGGCATGATGCACACCTGTAATCCCAGCACTATCGAGGCTGAAGCAAGTGGATTGCCACTAGTTTGAGGCCAGCCTGAGCTACATAGTGAATTCAAGGCCAGCCTGGGCTTCATAGTGAGACACTTTCTAAAAAAAAAAAAAAAAAGATTAAAGCAACAACAACAACAACACAAAAACTTCCCCAAGCTGAAGAACAGTGTGGGCAGCTGGAATCCAGGAGAAAAGGGCTGTCTGACTTCCAGCAATGGTTTGGAGGCCACTTGAAAGAGTCTGACTTTATCCTGAGAGCCCCGAAAGACACTGGGAAAGGTCTCAACCCAAGGACTGACATTCAGATCTGCTGTTTAAAGAAGATCTTTTGGACCTCCAGGTCAAAGACACATAGAGGAACAGAGGGGGCAGAGCAATTAGGAGCTGGAAGGGGATGACAGCTTGACAGGGTAAGTAGCAGCTGAAGGGGAGAAGCAGACAGATCAAGAGGTGGCTGCGAGGTGAGGCTGATGCTGGTGATGGATCAGACGTGTGGAGGCGAGAGGCTTTGGATTAGGAAAACTGAGTTAGGAAAATTTAGTTGGCGGAGTGGGATTGGAGCCTGGGGAGGGGCCAGCACAGCCCGCTGTCATGGCCAGGTGATGGGGCCAATGCTGGGTAATGATACTGGGGTTGGTAAGGCCTATTTTAAATCCTAGCCCTTTCTATCCCTGGCATGACACATTATCTAGACAGTAATAACAGATAGTCTGGGGAAAGGGCGGTCACAGTCCTCACATGGTTTTCTTGTCAATGTCCAATAGAAGATTAAATAGTCAGGCATGGTGATACACACCTGTGATCCCAACACTGTAGAGGCTAAGGCAGGAAGACCACAAGTTCAAACCCAGCCTGGACAACTTGGTGACTTAGTGAGACTCTGTCTCAAAAATAAAAAAAATAAACTTGGCCTGGTGGTGCACACCTGTAATCCCACCACTCAGGAGGCTGAGACAGGAGAATTACTTGAATTTGAGGCCATCCTGGGGTACAAAATGAGTTCAAGGCCAGCCTGAACTGCGTAGCAAAAACCCTATCTCAAAGACAATCAATTAAATAATAAAAAGGGCTGGGATGTAGCTCAGTGGAAAGGCGCTGTGTTCAGTTCCTTGTACTGCAACAATAGCCAGGACTGTAAATATCACTGCGTTCCTGCCTGTCTGCCTACCTCCAGTTTAAATTTGAACATGTTGGCACAAATGAAGCTGTCTGAAAGCACATTTTCAGGCTATCATACATACAATAAGCTCCACGAAGACAAAGGCTACGTTTTATTCATCACTGCAATTTCCTACTCTTGAATCTGCAACTTCCTACTCTTGAGATACTTTCTTGAATCACTTCATTTCATTTGCAGCATATACCACGATTGTAATTTGCAAAAGCTCATATACCTATGTGTCTAATATTTGCCTCTGCCAAAGGACTGTAAGGCAAATAACGCCTCTGTCTTGTATTCCAGCATTCTGTACACAAAGAACTTTTAATATGAATGCATGAAGAATGAATGAATGCATGAATGAGTTTGTGTTTTCCTCCTAGGCCCATTACTCAGTACAGAGCCTGGCTCCAAATGCACATGCAACAGAGGCTTGCTGGATGAATGGGACCCTGCACCATGGTGCCAGGCTCCAGTTCTGAGCTGGCTGCGTGGTTGGGCCAGAGAAGAATGCTTGCCCAAAGAGACTCAGGGTGTGTTGAAGGCCTGGGGAAGGAGAACAGGGGAAAGCAAAGCTGCTGAGTGCACCCAGAGATCTGGAGAGGGGTGCTGGTAGGAAATGATGACAGGGAGGGGCTGAAGGAGTCCCAAAGACAGGAGGAGCCCCACAGGGACCAAGCCAAGGGTTTTCTGAGACCTTTCACTGAATGCTGGTGCACACCTCCAGCAGGGGCTGTGTTGGCACTGACTCCACTCCACTCCCCTCCCAGGGAAGCCACAGTGGGTGCCCAGTCTCACAATAGGCTACTGGCAGGACTGAAGCTAGACTAGGGTGGGGTGGGGGTGCGAGAGATTCCTGTCTGGGGTCTCCTCCCTACCAGCCTTGAACTTTGTGTCTGAGCCTCTGCCCAGCAAGCACCAGGCTCTGCACCTTCCTCAAATCTGTCCCAGGATATCGAGATCCTGAACTAAAGTCTGGGCCAAGAAAACATGCTCTTCTTTGATCCTTACAGAATGCCTTTCGGGGCTGTGTGAGGACTCTCGTGGGTTCTAGCCGCTTTGTCTTCGTGGGTTTTCCTTTACAAGACAATATTAAACACCCCGTTAAATGACTGTGTGAGAATAAGGGCGAATATATTAATATTAATATTGCAAAACATTTTGTTCACCCGAGGTGCCCCCCTCCCGCGCCTTCTGCTTTATATAAAACATTTTCCTAGATCTCCAAAGTCCTGCTGCCCTGGATCCCCGGATAACTGCTTTGGCTCCTGTTGCATCCTGCAGTGGGACCTGTCCCAGTACGGCCACGGGAAGAGCCATGTCACCCTGCCTGCCTCTGCCTGGGCATGCACGCAACGAGCGAGAGTTGGGAACCGCTTCTGCACGCGGTCAGCTTGGAGACGGTGCGCAGAGCCCGCGCACAGAGTAGGTGCAGCAAAAGTTAGTCCGAGGGCTTTCCCTCCTCGAGCACCGAGCTCCAGATCGCATTGCGGGTAAGCGAGGATTGGGACAGCAGCTTCCTTGGTGGTGCCACAGAGCCCGCAGTGTCCCCCCTTATCCTGCGATTTCCCCACCAGACCCTGGGAATCCAGCGTCGCAAAATAAACACCGCCGCGCCGCTAATCGCCAGCTCGGAAACAAAACAGCGCTGCGCTGGGGATCTGTGCAAACCCAGCCCTCCCTCCTCCCGCGCCTTCGCCGCCGCCCTCCCCTCGGCGCGCTGCTCGCCTCGGCTCAGCGCAGCGCAGCTCGGCAGCGGCCAAACCGAGGCGGCACCGGCTCCGAGCTCCCTCGCTCTCCGCTTGGGCTCCTTCTGGTCTCGCCTCTGCCGGGACCGCTTCGGCCAGGAGTCGCTGGGCGAGAGCCGGCGACAGCATCTCAAAGTTGGGGGCCCGCGAGGATGAGGTTGTCTCCGGCGCCCTGGAGTCTGGCGCTGCTGGCCCTGGCGCTGCCCCTCTCCGTGGCGCTGGCCTTCTCCGACGAGACCCTGGACAAAGTAGCCAAGTCGGAGGGCTACTGCAGCCGCATCTTGCGCGCTCAAGGCACACGGCGCGAGGGCTACACCGAGTTCAGCCTCCGCGTGGAGGGCGACCCCGAGTTCTACAAGCCGGGAAGCAGCTACCGCGGTAAGTGGCCGGGGCTGGCGTGGGGGCGTACAGCAACTGACCCCAGAGGGCGCAGACCGCGCTGTGCGGGAGGAGGGCGCGCAGTCCCTAGGCGCACGGTGCAGGCATAACCCGGCCAGGGTGCTCCAGATCTGACCTACCTTAGCTCCTTTAGCCGCGAGCCCTGCGCGCATCACCAGCCACCATCCCGAGCCGTCGCGCAAGGTGCGAGGTGGAGGCTGCAGGGGCTGGGAAGCGGCTTGCTTCCACCTCGACCCTCGGCAGTGGAGGGGACCCGCTTCATCCAGACCGGTCTCTGGAGACCAGGGAACCCGGACTCTTCTCAATGGGGTCCAGGCAAGACAGCTTTCCCGCTTCCAGCCCTAAAGGAGAGGGACCAAGCTTCTCTCAGACTGACCCCGAGCGGACCATTACCCCGGCTTCTCCTGAACCGGTCGCAGGGAGCGGAGAGTAGGGGCAAGAGCCTGACGCTCTTCGGTAGGGTCCCTGATGGGGAGAAAAGCCTAAATTATGCTTTTTCAATCTCAGGCCAGGGAGAGGATCTTGGATTTCCAGGACAGGTCCCCAGGGAGAAGGGGATCCCCAAACAGCCTTAGGTAGCTCGCAACGGGAGACGAAGTCCAAGGAAGACCAACAGGGGTGTCGGATGGCGAGGCCTGCTTCCCGAGGCTGTGGGACCTTGGCTCCCGCAGCCCGGGCTCCGCGCCCGCGGATGTCTCCGCGGAGAGCCCAGTTATTGGGGCACAGGAGGAGGGGTCGAAGCGGGCGAGCACCTCCTGGACAGGCCAGGCAGCTCTAATCGGAGCATTCGGGCTCCATCCTCATTGCCCGCCGCCCTGCTTTCCTCTCCTTCCCGGGCAGCAGGCGCCGCTGTCCCCGAGCGACCCAGGACACCAGGCAGAGAAGGAAGCTCGCTTGGCCTCACCTGCGGTCCTGCCGGGGCGCGCGTCCCCCGTCCCCATGCTCCGTCTGCGTAAGCCAGCTGTTTGTGCAGAGCAGGGAAGATTGAGTCATTTGGCACCATGGAGGGGACAAATGGGCCCTCAAGAGCCTCCCTTCCATCCCTGCTTGCTAGCTCCCCAGAGTCGCTGGAGTCGGCGGCGGGAGCCACGCGGAAGAAAGTTTGGGGGGATGTCCCCGGGCGCCCGTGCCAGCGCCAGCCCAGAGCCGCGGCTGCCCTGCTCAGACTCCCCGGGCTGGCACACAGACTCCGCCGGGAGGCCTGGTCCCTGTGAGTCTCTTCTGCAGGATCCTTGGTCTTCCAAGAGGAAAGATGTGGGGCGGAGAACACCTTGCCGCGCCCCGCCTGGGAGGGACTTTGCGTGTGGGCTGGTGTGGCTGCCGGAGGGAGTCCCGCAGACGCGCGAGGACAGGCGCGAGGTGGGGTCAGGACACAGCCAGTCCTCCACGTGGGCCCGGAAAGCTGGAGTAACCTCGCCGCCTCACCCACGTGGACGGCCTGTGGCCAGTGTGGAAACTGGCTCTGGATGGAAAGGGACCCCCCCTAGCTGTGTGACCTTGTGCAAGTCATTTGATTTCTCTGAAATTAACTTTCCAGCTGTGGAAACAGCTGTTTACTCAACCTCTCTGGATAGTAGCAGGAGTAAATAAGTTTGAGAATGTTGGACAGTGCGAGTCCTTTGTTGGTTTGATGATGGTTGTGTGCCTGGTTGGACTTTGGGGTGTGTGTGTGTGTGTGTGTGTGTGTGTGTGTGTGTGTGTATGTGTAACAGCAGCTTTCCTTAAGAGCTGTAGTCCAATCAATCAGGGAATCACCATTATCCGGGACCTTACGAAGTAATTAAATGAATGAATGATACATTGATGTCTCCATTCTAGAAGCCTTGCCTGAGACTTCATATTGACACACTGGAAGAGTTCTGTGAGATTTAGGCTTCTCTAGGCCTCTGGACCAAGGTCTTCTTGGCATCTCTGGGTTAGGCCTGGGCACTGGGAGCTGTGGAGGGCCAGGTTGGGTGGAAATACAGGGGACGGATGGTCCTATAATCATAGGCCAGACGGGTTCCAGTACTGCGGAGGCCCCAGGCCAGGTACAAGAGGGCCCTGGACTTCGCAGCCTAAACCTGCGGCTTCTTTGGCCCGGGGCACCACTAGCCACCAAGCCATCCTTTCCCTTTTGTTTTGGCCAAGAGAGCTTGAAGGGAAAGACCTTAAAAGAGCCACTCTAAGGTCTGCTGAAAAAATATCCTGTGATTGACAAACCTGACTCTACCGAGCAAAGTTGGGAAGCAAGGGGGCTGGTCTGGGTTGTGACATTTTCTGTTGGCTTCCATTTGTTAGAATAATTAGGAGGAAAGCAAATCTAACGCTTTGGGCTGGGTGCAGACTTGGGCTCTGGAGTTAAGGTTCCCCCTGGTGTTCTGTGAGCTTTCTGTTCTCTCCTGAATTAAGATCCCCCACACTTCTTGGAACCAATGACTTCTTTTCCTGCCTCAAATCTTTGTCCTCGCCATTGCCCAAAGCTTCTGTTCTCTGTGCCCCCATGCAAGTGTTGATCTTTTGGCTGTCTCAACCAGAATAAAGTGGTCACTAGTTTTAAAAACTAAATCTTGGGGTTTCTCCCCGCCATGGCCTGGTCAGATGGAGACCTATTCACCCTTTTCCAAGTCGTTGGTACTATACTGACTTCTTTTTCTCTCCCCCACCTCTCCACCCTCCCGCCTCACCCCCACCCTCCCCCTCCCCCTCCCCTGCAATAATTATGCTTTAGAAAACCCTGAAAGGCCTGCTCTGTTTCTGACCAGGGCCTCCTTTGAAAGGAGATTACAGTGATTAAAAATAACCATTGAGGATCCTCAAGGGGCTTCCCTTAGAGCGGGACAATTTGTAGGACCAGCTTTTTCCAGATCACAATTTCAAGCCAGATAGGAGAAAATCAGCTGAAATGTTAAGAACTGATTAAAAATGAGAAGTTCTTTAGTCTGTCCAAAGGTAGGAAAATAAAGTCAAACACTGGCTAATGAGAGTGGCTTTTCCTAGACGCTCTTTAAAGAGACTTTCAAGAAACTTGATGGGAAAAGAATGTGCATTTGAGATTTCAAAAGTTTAAGCATAATTGGGTAGGGATTTATTCTAAACTGGGAGGCCTGGAGACCTCCAGAACTGCTTTGCTGTCTTCTTTGTCCACTGTGGACACACACTGCCTGTGGGAGGAAGGCCCCTCTGCCTGGGGGGAAAACGCTTAGCATCTGATATTGGACGATTCAGTTTCCATTCCTACCTGCTCCCATTTCCACTGTGTGACCTTGGGCAGGCGCCTCACCTCTCTGAACTGGAGCATCTTCATGTATGAGATCCTTGCTTTAGAAATAGAAAAACGTTTATCAGCAAAGCACTGGATCAGAATAGCGGTAAGCTTTTTGTGCTTAGCCCCTTTAGTCTTTGCAGTACTTTGAGGTGATTTATTACTCATGTTTTACAGATGAGAAGATTAAAGTCTCAAAGCTTTCCTCTTGGTCACCGAGCTACTAATTCAGTGGGGTCAGGATATACTGTAGGGTCTGTGTCACTCCTACATGTGTGCCTTTTTGGTTTTGAATTATTTATTTACTGGAGACAGGGTTCGTTGCATAGTTCAGGCTGGCCTTGACCTTACAATATAGCCCAGATCTGTCTTGAACTTGTGATCTTCCCGGCTCAGCCGCCGGAGTGCGCTAATGTGTATCTTACCCAGTCTTCTCTCTTGGTTCCATAAAATAAGTTAGGACTAGAATGAATTCACTCAGCCTTCCAGAGGGTGAGTCTTCCTGCAAGGAAAACAGAGTCAACAAATCAAGATAATAACTGACATATCACAGGACACAGAGTAATAAAGGATAGATCCTTATTTACATTTATTTTGTGCTTTTTATAGGCTTCAGGATTGCATTTCCCCATAAATGAGAGGATTAATTTAGAACCATGAAGAACCACGTCAGCCTGTAGCCAATCCCTTTTGTTTGTGAAGAAGCAGAAACAAATTGGATAGGGGGAAAAGCCTGACTTGATTATTGTTTTATCTTTACATGCAGATGTTCTAGGACTGTGCATGTAAAACTAGATGCTTGAACAGAAAATGCATAGGACCTGGGGAACTGAAGCAGGGGGAGGTCTTTTAAACAAACGGTTTCTTACATGGTGGTTTGCTTTTAAATAAGTACTGCTGGTGACATTATGATGAATTGGTCACTCTTGTCTTCTTGTAGCTTTCTTTTCTTTTCTATCATGAAGTTTTAATTTTAGAATCCTTATCCCTTTTAATAAATATTTAGTTCAAGTTGTTAATAAGAATCAAGAGGCGCTACATGTCTAATGCTTAATGGTTGTGGAAATTATTGCTTTGGTTTTCAGGAAATGAAAAAATCCAAATGTATAAAAATGAAAGCATATCTAACTCATTTCTCCAGGTTTAAAACCCGAGTGCCGTACATGCCTATAATCCCAGCACTCTAGGAGGCTGAGGCAGGAAAACTTTGAATTTGAGACCCCCAAATACAGACACACACACACACACACACACACACACACACACACACGTACCTTCCGATTCACAAGTGACTCTTTCATCTGGAACAGCAGGTTGAAATTGCTAATCTATTCACAAGCCCGGCCAATCTCAAGAACTTTTCCCTGTCACATTCTCCATTTGGCTACTGTGTGAAATGTTGGGTATAGACTAAAATTAATCTCCAGGAGAAAACAATGTACGGTGTTACATTAGTCAGGGTCTGGAGTCAGTTCATGTTACATAGAGATCCCCAAACACAGTGGTTTAGGCTGGAAGAAAATGGGAGAACTGACACACCAGGGTGGAACTTCACTCTGGAAGGCCACGCAAGAACCCAGGTCTTCTGTCTCATGGCTCCCCGGTTTCTCATGCTCTGCTGTCCAGGAAGAAGCCACCTGCTGATAGTCCAGTGTAGCAGTGACACACCTGAAATAAGGCTGTTGTGATTCTGAAGAATTAGTATGAAAAAAGAACAAGCCTTTCATTAATAAGT